TAATATAGTCATTCGGAGTAGGGGCTCTTGGAGCTCAACTGCCTTCCTGCCTCGGTTCAAATCCTAGCTCCGAAAGTTCAATACTTTATTATGTGCGATAGCGTCAAGTGGATCCCGACTCATCGAAACCCCCTTAGAGCAGGGTAGACCTGCCCCTGAGGGTTCCTGAGGCCGCAAGTGTTTGCTGGAGCATAAAAGCCTCATCTTTGTCCTACAGAGGGTCTTCCAGTTTCGAACAGCTGACCTTTCGGTGTGTAGCCCAACACGTGATCCATTACGTCACTGAGCTCTTTGTGATATATATAGACATTGTTGGGGAAAAGAAGCAGAAAACAGCAAAACCAAAAAGTCTACCCTGCTTTCCTGCTTAACTAGGTCTACTCACCCATTAAAAAATAAAATGTAAGAATAGGGATGTAAAAATACACGCTCGGTATGAAACTGCTAGAGAAAAACAGAAAAGCACAACATAAACATGTTTTTAAGTTAAACTGCTCATGAATTAAATTCCTTTCCAAAGTCTTAAATACTGGATTAGCTTTAGCAAAACTCAAATTTTAGCTCTAGTCCAAGTCATATCATGTGACTATGATGTTTGAAAATACCTCATTTCTTCACAATAACAGAATGATGGTTTCCCAGAAAGCAGCGTGGGATGGGAGTTTTAGTAGTTGGGCTCTGCAGCGTGTATACCCTGCTGACTACGTTCAAAAGTCACAGGTCTATCGAGACGCCCTTTTCGCAGGCATGCAAGCTTGTGCCTGCATTTGAAAAAAAATCACTGCAGACAGAAAAATGTGTGTTTGCTGGAGTGGGCTTGCAAAGCTGAGACAGCAGCTGAAACATGGGACGGGGGTCCAAAAATTCATGGGAAAATTCCATTTTCTTTTCATTCCACTATCCCCCACACTCTGTGGAACCATCTTGTAGTTTGTCATTGAGTGGAACTGCAGTCCATTCAGAAGGTAGATGCCTAATTCTTCTGCACACACTGTAGTAGAGATGACGTCAACCAGCACTCCTGGGGAAGAGTAGGGGTGGAGCTCACTCTATCCATTGGGTCTCAGCCTGATGGCCCCTCCTTGGTGTCATCAGCATTTTTGTAGAAGGCAGAGAGACTGGGCTGAGTGGGATCCTCTTTGGCCCTTCGCCTTCGGCCGGAGCTGGATCTTGAGTCTGGTTCCTTGATCACCCGTCCCAGGAACTGTCATCAGACTCCTGACAGTGGATTCCTTCTGCTGACTTCAGACCCCTGCATCCACCAACCTGCGTCCCCTGCTGCCTTGGCTTCTGCATGCTGCTTCTTGTTCATCAGTTTCCATGGGTCCGGAGAAACGAGTTGAACCAGACTAGGCTTACCTATTTCTATAACTGTGTCAGCCATTTCTTGATATAAATCTCTTTCTAGAGGCAACACAGACAAGCCTCACTGATTTTGCTTCTCTGGAGAACCCAACCTAGTACAGCTCATACTTTCTGATTCAAAAAGATTTGATCTTTTTTAATGATAGTAACAATGATAAACCCTTAAATGTAGTCCTTTCTCTGTACTCCCCCCACTCCCAACCCAACATACATACACCAGTGGTACAAATGGTTAATGCGTTCAGCTGCTAATTAAAAAGTTGTATTCTGGAGTATAGTCAGAGATCCTACGAATGAAAGGATTGGCCGTTTGCTTCTGAAACATCAGTTACTG